TCCAGTGAAATATATTTATGTTTGTGGTTGTAATGTGACAAAATATGGAAAAGTTCAAGGGGTATGAATACTTTTGCAAACCACTGTAAAGCTTTAAGGTTCATCAAGTCTTTGACCGTTGACTTGGAGGGCTAACCTGATGGACAGTCTTCATGTTTGACGTGTTTCTGAGCCTATCATATAACCTAATTTATTTTCAATATCTAGTTTGTTTTATAGCATCTATATCAAACTGTATGCAAGCTGAACTCATAAGTTGATCAATATTTTTTTTTAGGGCTGAGGTAGGCACAGTCTTTGCGCTCAGCTGGCTGATCACCTGGTTTGGTCACGTGCTGTCAGACTTCCGTCATGTCGTACGGTTGTATGACTTCTTCCTGGCCTGCCATCCATTGATGCCCATCTATTTTGCTGCTGTGGTGAGTTGTTTATTTTTATGACAGATTTATGTATAACAACTTTTTTTAAAGTTTTTATGGTGTATTTATTAAACTGGTTACTTCTAAGGCTGTAGCATTTATGTATGTGATCTTCATTTAGTCAAAAAGAAAAAAAAAGTAGGTCCTCTGGACGGTTTCTTCTTTAATGAAACGTTTCATCTCTCCTCCAAGAGACTTTTTCACTCTGAGATGCATCAGGACATCTTCTTTTAGTAAAATGTAATTTTAAAAGGTGGATTTAGGGGGTGTGCACTTCACTGTACATGAAACAAGTTTGGCTCTGCAGGGGCCTATTGGACGTCTTTACAATTTCCTCAGATGTAATCAATCCGTGAACCAAAGCCCTCTGCAGTTAAAGGCATCTTCAGCTGCATCAGATCTTATAAAGCCGTCAGTAATTTGGCAAACCCATTTTTGTTACATGTCTGTTATCCTCTTATTACACAATTGATGGGGAAATAACTATCCACTTCGGTGCACACGCAGTAAGTGAGTGCAATTGTCATGACGGCCCTTGAGAAATATGTTTGTGTTTTCGTGGCAGATTGTATTACACCGAGAGGAAGAAGTGTTGGAGTGCGAGTGCGACATGGCGATGGTCCATCACCTGCTGTCTCAGATTCCCCAGGACCTGCCATATGAGACACTAATCAGCCGAGCTGGAGACCTTTTTGTCCAGTTTCCTCCCTCTGAACTGGCTAGAGAGGCTGTGGCACATGAAAGGTACTTATGTCCTTAGAGTTAGCAGATATAAGTGCTTTGTGTTCCAACACTTATTCTGCTATTGTGGGTAGGTTCTTTTTAATTTTACACGTGGTCATATAAAGCACTATTCTAATGAGATATATTTTCCTGCTTCTCACCAACACCATAATACTTGCTGTTCTGATTAATTCCTTTCACCTTTTTTTTCTGTCTTTCTCTGTTTGTGCCTGTCCTTTTTTTTCTCCTAAGCATGGCAACCTCTACCTTTAAGGACTTTGAACTTGCATCCACTCAACAACGACCAGATTCAGTACTCCGTCGCAGACGCAGACAGAAATCAGCTGCGCTGGAGAAGCAGACAGTAGGCCCTGTAGTAGCTGTGGCACAACCGTCGACATCACGGCGCTTTGTTCGATTGGCAGTTATGGGCTTGACGGTGGCTTTGGGGGCAGCAGCTCTTGCTGTGGTTAACACTGCTCTGGAGTGGGCCCCCAAGTTGGACTTGTTCCCTTGAACTACCATTAACACAACACAACAACGTCTGTGTCCTTGTCTAACCAGTGGTTCTGCTTCCAAAAACTTTTTAATTTGTGAAACCGCACTTTTTTTTGAGTCTGTAACACTGTCTGGAACAAACTAATGATTTTGAACATATTAGCGCTCCTCTTCCATGAAGGACAGGTCTAAACATTTTGGTCTCTGTATAGCTTGCAGGACTCCTTTTTTATATAAATGTGTGCATTGGTTTATTAGTTGCCAATGCTCTTAACGAAGAGATAGTTTCTAAGGACTGTTATTGGTAATATGAGTTCAGTTTATTTATATTTCATAATAAGATGTCTGATAGTGTTTTGCTCACAGAGATTTATGCTGAAAGCCTGATGGACTCACTAAACTTGAAATTGCTGCCAATTTTGTGAGCTGGAGAGTGTGGATGTGTGTGTGTTTGTGTGTGTGAGAGAGAGGGAGAAAGAGACTGCAGTTCATTTGTTATCTATTTGATACCTTAATGAGACCAAATTGAGAATTTGTAGAATCCTCTCTTTGTAAAATATACTCTACAATTTTGTCTTGTGTTCATAATTGTACAGCATCATGACACACTGGCACTTTTTAGGATCATAATTATATGGTTTCAGGTAGTTATGGTCATTCAAGTTCTTTAACATTTTATTAACAGAAATGTGATATTTCACTCTACGTTGGGAACATTTATAATATTAGCTCATTATTCTGTATTTTATCTTTAGTTTATTGTTTAGATCAGTTGAATTCATCTTAATGATACATTTGGTGTTGCCAAGATTTTGTGGCCTAATTTAACGTATCTCATTCAATTTGACAAATAATTACCAACATTAGAATATCTGCTTAGAAATTGAGTGTAATGCATTTAAACAATGAGCAAGTTGGCAATCAGATCTCAAAGTTTAACCCTGGAAGTGCTAGTAAAGACACCTTATTTTTGGTTTAATCCACGGAGTAGTTGAGTTATTGTGAATTTTTTCATTTTAACTAAATATTTTTAATTTGAACTGAGCATTGAATTAACAACATGCAGCTGGAATACAAACGTACACCTGTTGTTTGTATGCTATAAAAGATTTGTGGTTAAAAAATTTTGTGGTTTGTGTTAATCATGGAAACCATGTAAATAGATTTTAATCCCAGATTTAAAGTGCATGTTGTATACTGGGTTTTTGATTTTTTTTTTACATTTTGTCCATAATAAGATACATTTAAAAGTCTACCCTTAATATTACATTTAATAATTATAAACCCATTAGAGAATGCTTATATATTTGACAATTTTCAATGAGCAAAACATTAACTTGAATTGGTTAATGATTTAACATTTTATTACAAACCAAAAGATTTTATGAAGCTTTGAGCCTACACCATGACATAAACAGCAGTCATGTATTAACCTCACATTTTGCACAACTAACATGCTGAGTTTTTGCCAGCAATTTTCTCTTAATTGGGGCTACACAGATGCTTATTTTTCAGATTTCTCTCTTCACGCAGCCTGTTCTTGTGTTTACAGACGAGTTCAATGACGTGAAACATTACATTAGATTTCGTTTTGTCACATTTTGAAGTGAAGGTTTCTGTTTAGTTCTTGTTCAGTCACTTTTGTCTTAACAGGAAATGCACACTTTGGGAAGATGTTTGATTTAGTTTGCGTGTTGAAAAAAAATTTTTTTTTCTTCAAGAAACTACTCACAGTAATGGTTTACTTTTGATGGCACAAGCAGTGAACTAAACATGTTTCAAAGTTGTCACAGTGATGTTGACGAACATAATTTTACACGTAATCCAAACAACACTTGTCGTTCTCTTCCTGTCCATATGGTAGATGTATATAATTTGCCATTATAGTATAGCTGAGTCTCCATAATCAAAATGAAGGTGACCGGACATGAAGAACAGAGTGTAGCTGTTGACCAGTATCATTATGCATCATGTAATTATGGATACACTACACGGTATATTTTCATTGCACTAAATAATTTTGCCTTTTTTTTTTTTTTGTTATTTCCATGTTTTGTTAGTAATAAGACTGATGAAAAAATTGTAAAATAGAATGTTAATAAACTGGAGTGAAATAGTCTGTTTTTTGTTTATATACTTTTTGGAACTTCAGATTTACGTGTATAATAATGAGTTTCTTTTAATCTTCTGGGGTTATTTATGTAGCAGCAATCATTACATTAAAGATGACACAAAACATCCAAGGATAGTGTTTACATAAAAAAAGCCTTTATTGTAAATCTCATTTTACAACAATTGTTTTATTTTTCTTATTTTCAATATAAGCTATTATGGTAAATATGAAAAAAAAAAAAAAAGAAATCACAAATATTGTAAATCTGTATGATGCAGACCACAATGTTTTAAAGTAATACAGTTCATTCTTAAATTCTTAGCAGAATAAAAAAAAACTTCAGAAAAAGTAATTGTTAAAACACTGTAATCACTGCACCCCTAATAGAGTGGTTCCCAAAGTTTGAGTCTGGACATTATTATGGGTCATGAAAATCTAAAAACATTGGATTACTGGTAATTTAAAAAAAAATAACTACCAATAGCCTATTCAGCCGTAACTCTCGACTTTTTATTTTGTAGAGCCAAAGCAGAAAAGTTTTAAGAACCACTGCTCCAACTTAATCTTTAAGTGCATCAGAGAACATTTAATGTAAACTATTTCAGCAGATTCTTCCACCTGAGTTTAGTCAGTAGACTGGCCATACAATAAACTATGGAATTCCAATTATCAACCAACAATAGCAGTCAATAATAAAACACAAACATACATTTTACAAAAGAATACATCCAACTCAAATACATGGCATCACTTTACCTCCATTAATTAAAGATGGACTGTAAAACTGTTTTTTAATGATAAAAACAATTATTTGTGGTAATTTCTTGGTTTTAGACATACACTGCACAGGAACAGCAATGGAAATATTTACTCTCCAGTTTTTTTAATGCAATTTTAGCTCCAACTTCAAATCATTGCTAGCTCATGAACTTTGCAAGTTTATCAGATTTAACGTTATCTGTTTGGCAGGTTTCTCTGTCACAATAAAAATGACAAGAAAAAAAAAAAAGCATTATTTTTAAAACCTATCATGCAGGCAGTGGTTTTAAGTACCCAATCTTTTCTGAACTTGCTCATTCATATAGAGCACGTGGAGATTGGGGGGTGAGTTTTATAGTGTTCTTGGTTCAGTGACAGTTTTGGCAGTTGGGGTGACAAGGCTGATGATTGACACGACATTTACAGCCGCCGGATGTGTCACCACGTCCCTGTAAATAAAAAATTATATGTATAAAACAAAGTCGGATGCATAACTCAAACACAAAAACTGAACATGTGCTTTTTTTCTTTTTTTTTCTGCCTTTATATTTACATTTGGTCCCCATCGAGCTTGCTTGGTGACCCAACAGATTTCGGTTTTGCACATCAAACAGCAGATCCAGTCGCAGCCGTCTTTTTTCTGGACTACAATGTCGCACCGTGGGCACTTCATGGCCTCTCCGTTCTTCAGCAGGTTCTACAGTGAAGTGAAACAGACAGAACTGTTGTTTAGGCTCCAGTAAAAATAAGTGTCGAAATGAAACTTGGAAAATAAATGTTGCTTATTATTCTTAAACTGTTTACAAGATTGTCTGAGATTGCTAAGTAATGGGTTTAAAAAGTGTTCCATTCACAGTTACATGCCACTTGGTAAAAAACAAAATAGATATAAAGGCAAATGTTTGGTCACAAATGTCTTAAAATCAAAAGGTCCACAATTGGACACTGTCTCTAAAGTATTTAAAAGTATTATACTGGTAAAAACAAATAGCATTAACATTAAAGTAATAAACTCCAGCAATGCTTCTTTTTTGTAAATAAATAAGTAAAACGTCTCTGTCCTAACAAAGTCAGATTATTTTTATTCATCAGCTTTAAATAATATAAGCAATGAACCTTCAAGAATGTAATATTCAAAATAAAATATCAATATTTAGCTTGTCTGTGTCTCATCTGACTGTTTTAAGGCTGCATTTTAAAGACTTTTCTACTTTAAAGACCAATCGAAACTGCCTGCTGTGTTCTGTTTAGAAAGAAAATAGGAGCACAGTACATTGGGTCTCATGCAAGAACCGTTCGTTCGCACAGATTTGTTCTTAAATTGTGCGTACGAGTGATTTAGGAGTATATGTGGCATTCACCAATGTTTTCATATTCTAAGATTTTTTTCAGATATGAACAAAATTCACGAGTGGTCCACGAGATTTTACGAGTGGCTCGTAAAATATACCTGTCGTATATTTTACGAGCAGTCAGTACGGTGCGCAGCGCTGCCGCTTCTGAATAAATGAAAATGATTTAACACAGTTGTTTATACTTTTAGCAGCTCTTTTTATTCCACAGCTGACCTGCTAAAAATGACAGATTTTKTTTTCTGGATCTCTGACAGACGGACTTCAATCTCTGAACTCYTAAAGTTTTTATTTTTTTAGTTTTCGCTGTCATTTTCATGAATGGACACTTGTATCTGAGGCAGGAAACGTAGCCTTATATGGTGTTTTTGGGGTGGTAATTATGCTAATCTCCTCTCGCGTGCACGAGCAGCTGACACGAACAGGTGGAATTTACGCAGCTCATTTACACACTTTTCCTGAAGATAGAAGAGTTTGTTGAATCTGACGTGACATGTTCGTACGAACCCTTCGTACCAACAAAAGTAAGAGAAATTTAGGATAAGAATATGAACATGTTCTTGCATGAGGCCCATTGAGTGCTTTGTTCCTGTAATTATGATGAAGAGAAAAGATAAAAACAATGTTGTTGCTGTTTGTTTCTCACTGCCTGAGATATTGCACTATTTAGGACCTACATCCAGCATCTGCTTCGTCTGCTGAGCTGCTTTGTCGTTGGCTGCTCGGATGCGCAGGTCATCCTGGTAGTCCTTACAGTTCATGTCTTTATGAATGGCCTAAAAAACATTTTTAAAAGAAAGCACATTCACTCAGGTTTTGTGTTCCTCTTACCGTAAAGAAAAAAGCTTATCAGTTATTCAGCAAGTGCATGTGAGAAAGTTACTCGGCAGAGAATGCAGTTGGTTTCATCGCAGAGCTCGCAGTGGAACTCGTTGACTTCGTCCTCGTAGATGCACCACCCTCGACAGTTGGGAGTCTGACAGTGGAAGCTATGCTCGGAGCGGCTCTCTGCCACGTTTAGGCGCAACTCTAAAAACCGCTGGAGCTCCTCTTCTGTCAGCAGCTGATCAACCACAGGTAAAAAAATGAGGAAGAGGATATTTAACAAGCACAGACATTTTATTGGTCTTCATGGAAAAGTTATAAAAATTACTGAAAGACTGATGACTATGAACCAGTCTTATTTATGTGCCTATAAATAATAAAGATATAGTTTTGGAAATAACATAAATTAATAGCTTTGAGTTTTATTTCATTTTGTATTTACAATAAGAGCAACTTGTTTTGTGCAGCCAAATCTGTTTTTAGTTCTTCATCTACAGTCTGATATTTTCCATGGACTATTTCGCGGATACCGTTTAGCGCGGTTTGTGGGATTGTTTGGGGGCAAAAAAAAAAAAAAAGAAAAGTAAACCATGGGACAGGCTATAAAAGTTTAAAGTTTGGATTATTGCGCATTTTAAAATGTTTATTTTGGTTCATGAGGTACCAACTTCTAACCAAAAAAAAACAAACAAACTCGTGCAGAATTTTTACCTGCTCAAATGTTGGAATTAGTGCCTAAAATAGCAAACTGGACATGCAAAATAGAGGTAAGGTTATAATGCTGTGCAATATTTTCATTCTTAATATAATGTAGTAATTACTATATATTATATTATGTATAGTATGGCACTATATTAAATATTACCAGAGAAAATCCCAGTATATAGTGATCATACTGACAGCATTATGAGCAGTGGGGCTGGGTGACTAACATATAATCTAAATATAATCTTGAGAATTTGTTAAATTCTGAGTATAAAACATCCTTTTAGCCACACATCAAATTTGGCTTAAATATTAATTCAAAATACGTATTTTTTTAAACAGTGATAAATGCATTTGTTATTGTCATCTGTAGATTCCTGTATGGTGTATATTTGTGTTAATAAATAAACTGTACACCATTATATGGTCAAGTTTTTAAGATGGTCCATACCTATATTTGTAATATTAAGTGGACAAAATGATCTGTAGTCAGGAAATGTGATACGCAGCCCAGATCACTGTAAACCACGTCAACATATTTAGCACAAGATCTACTAGACCGAGTGGTGACAATCTTGTGTTTTCATTATTCTAAATATTTAAACTTGTTTTCATGTATCTGTGATCATTATTACACAGGTAATACACAGTACACCACCCATTTTCAGTCATTTAATTTACACACCGGCACTGGATGCCCCCAAACTGGACCATTGATGCTTTGTGCTTGGCAAAGACGGCGGTATCCGCGAAATAGTCCATAGCTTGATATGAGTTTCAGTTTTCTAAAATATTAGAATAATATTTTTAAGTGCTTTATTTGGCATTTTCTTTACTTAACTCTAGATTAATTTATATCTAAATTAGCATATGTGCTATCTATTTGATGTTTGTTTCCTCTGACACAGTTTGGAGGGTTTTTACTATTCGTTAGTTAACTTTTCTTCATTTTCACTCACCTCTTTGATCTCTCGGTCCAGTAACTTGCTGTCACAGTTGTCCGGACAAGACACCTCAGGATCTTGACAGTTTACGATTGTCGATTTTAGACACTCCCTGATCACAGGCGCATATAAAGCATACAAAAGAGTAAATGTTTTCACAAATTGTTTTAACCACTGCATGAGTTGAAGAACCATAATGTGAACCTGTTCCTGAAGTCAAGTGCTCTTTTACCACCTATTATAAAAGCTACAAATTGACTTTCTGCCAAACCTGCAAAAAGTGTGCAGACATTCCCTGAGCACAACGCCCTCTCCTGGCGGCAGAGGGGAGAAGCAAATGGGGCAATCGGTCTCTGTGGTGCTCAGGATAAGGTTCTGCTCGTCTGTCGCCAAAAGGTACATATAGTTCTGCTGCCGTTCTTCCTGCTGAGCCTTCATCACAAAGAGCACAACACGGAGATTCAGAATAAAAACAAAACATGACTGAATCAAATCCTAAAACCATAATAATCCAGTAACACTTTCCAAATAACTGAACTGTCCCTGCACAATAAGTTCTACGTAATGTGAGTCTGCATGTCTGTGTTCGGTTCCGTCACTTTCACACAAACTTTAAACGTCCAGTTTAACACTTTTCCTGAACCGCATAGATTTTAATGATGATCACTCTTACCAGTTCATATTGCAGAAGTGCCATCTGTTCCTGTTCAAGCCGTTGAATTTCGTCCTGGTCTGGCTGATAGATGTCCGGCACCTTGTAATCCTCTGGCCTATCCCCTCCGCAGATCTCACATCCAGGGCGTGTTGGCTTATTAACGTACGTACACAACAAACAGGCCCAGCCCAGCTACGAACGTAAAACAAAGACACACAAATTGTAATCGCGTTGTTCCTTGACAAGCATAACTACGGCATTTTCTGTGTCTTGTGCAGGACGCTGACCGCTGGATTTTGAAAACTGAAACAATGCGTGTCGCTTAAAGGAGAGATATCAAAACTTCATTTACGTGGAATATATTACTTTGAGATTTCTGTACTTTGGACACTGATGCCAGCTATAACCAGGATTACGATTTCTGTCGGCGTCCTCACCTGAGGTTTAGGAGGCAAGGTAGGTTTAGCAACAGTCGGGTTTCTAGGAAGAACAGGGGGAGGGGAAGCTTCACGGAGCGGAGGCATTTTCTCGCCAGCATCACCCAACCCTCTGGGAACTAACTCCACTGACTTCATGATGCCTAAAAATAGAGATCATTTGGAGAAAAAAAAAAACATTCAGTGTTCAGTTAATCAGATTTACTGGTTACCGAGTAAACATCCTGAGAACTGTATCTCACATACCAAGTATCACATCAATGAGAATTTAAAATATATTCAAAATTTATGACTCAATCTTTTTTTTACTAATTATTTGATAAAACTGTCACGTAGAAAAGTTTCCACAAATACCGCTTTAGCAGTTTTCTTTTTTAAGAAACTAAGAGGCACAAAAAGAGCACGGTTAAACAAAACATATAGTCCAAAATCCCTCCAACCTCAACGTGAGTGTTTATATTACAACAGACCCGTTAGACGCTGTTGCTCCATGTCCGACATGTACTGCTGCCGCGTCAGGTGAGCAGCATGGGCGGAGAGGATGAACAGGAACGCCTGATCCCCATCCTTACGGATACCGTGGCTGTACAGTGTGTCCTGGTCTTGAGCGAGTCGCTTGCCGATCACCCAGCGCTGCAGGGATGGGTGGAACCCGAAATCATGGCTGATCTGTCAGTGTGAGACGAGGAGAAATGTCTAAAAATGTCATTTCGTTGTCGGGTTTTAAACAGTCCTGCCTCGTGATATTTATGTGATCTATTCAACAGCTAGAAGCGTAGGATTGATTAATCAACCGTTTTTTTCTTCACTGTTCAAAGGTCTAAGCCAAAATAGAAATGCGATCAGGCTTTTGCAGTTGCTGCTCCAGATCAACTATTCCAAATATGTGGAAAAATGTACTTTTATATAAATGTGCTGAGACTGAGAGTTTAAAATCTCGGCTCAAGACTCACGTCCACCCCCAGCTTTTGATTCAAACAAAGTATGAAACCCAAATACAGCTGATGTTTTATGTTGCACCTCTGGATTTGCTCTTGTTCCTATACTGCAGAAACATTCAATTGGTGGCATGTGGGCCAGATGACTTTAT